GGGAGAAGACACATAGGTATGAGAAGGTGAATGAACAAGTGAAATGTGTCAAAAGTATTTTAGAAACATGAAAATAAAAGGTAATAATGTGCATTGGTAACTTGTACTATATGTTATTTTAATTGTAGATTAAAAAAATTTAAGACTAAATACATAAAATAATAATACTTAATACATTATAAGTTATTTTTAAGACTTTATACATAAAAATATAATACTTCATACATTAAAAATTATTTTTAAAACTTTTACTAAATCTGTTTTATTTATAAGATAGTATAGATAACAGAAATTGAAAAGGTTTGAAAAAATTAATAATAAATATTTTAAATAATTAGTGTTTGGATTTTAGTAGGTAAGTGAGTTGAAAGCTGTCAAGGGTCAATTGTAATGATGGAGATGGTTATGAAGTACAGTGGAAGATGGATGGATGGATGGATCATGTCAAAACAAATTTCAATTAATTTAATAATTAAATATCCAGCTGCCCTTTTTAAGACCAACTCATCCACTTATACCTGCTTCCCTTTATCACTTGTCTTCGTACCAATTCTTTCAACCTTTTCTATAATATATTTTTTTTAATTAAACGGGATATTTAATTTGTTATGTAAGCTGACAAAATCCAGTACGACTATTTGTTTTGCAGATAGTCTGGAGTCATCGTATTTGAACCTTTGTATTACAAACTCTACCAAAATAAATTTTCATTTTTATACTAAATTTAAAATAATAATTAAAAAATTCAACTAACTTGTCTTCGTATCTTATGGTTGCCCGATCTCCGTTACCATTGCTGTTAGGGGTGCTCAAAAACCCGATCAACCCAACTCAAGGTGAAATAACTCAATCCGAAGCAACCCGATGTCTAATCGAGTTATAAAATTGTCAAACTATAGGTATTAGGTTGATATTGGGTTACTATTATTTGAACCTAACCCAACCCGATGAACTCAATATCCTTTTATTTATTGGATTTAATATGATTATTGAATTTCTATTAATATATACATTAGACAATTACACTATTACGTATTCTCTTCATATACACGTATTTTCAATTTATCCACATCTCTATATAACTCGTAAATATATTCAGTAACTGTGAACATATATATGTAAATTGTGAAAATTAACTGAATGTGATGTACGTAAGAAGAATGGATAAGTTGTATCAAATGGATGATGATGAAAAAGAAATTATGAGTAGGGAAATATCATACTCAAGGTTAAAAAAATATTTTAATATACTAAAGTATCAACCCGACCAACCCGTACGGGTTGGGTTGGGTTAGGTTAAGATTTTTTCAAACCGCAAACATTGGATTGGGTTGTTGAAATGTCTTCAGCCCGATCAACCCAATCCATGAGCACCCGTAGTTGCGGTTGCTATCTGCCATCGATTATGCTTTTTTATTTTATTTTTATCTTTCAATTTCTTTTTTTTCCCCAACAATTTAATCGAGTATGTTTGAACAGATGTAAAAAGAGGGAGAATCAAAATGTAAGAGAAACAGATAAAAAAAAGTGAGATCGATGGCAGGGGCCAACCATTGGCGATGAACAATGATTGAGAGCATACAATGATGAGGCGGTGCACTCAAACCCTCCATGAATCGCGTTTGATACATGGATTGATCTGATGCATCTTGGTGCACATCATCGCAATGTGCATTCACTGGTGGAGATTATTTCTTACGCTTCTCACTAGAACCCAACCATTCCATCAGTTATATTAAATACACGACACATTCTATCAATTGTATGAATTTTGAAAAGACGTTCAAACCAACAATAAACATATTATGCTTTATTTTGATGCAAATGCCATTTAATTTAAGATATTACATCAAAAGAGGAAGATTTAAACGGAAAACTAAACAATATAAGAGAACATGAGAAGTTCTAATATCATATATGATTACACGCATGATACACAAGTTTAATTATGTACAATTAAATACATAGATGCTTAATCATATATGATTAAATATATATTCAAATAAGTGTAATCATTTATGATATTGAAACTTTCTGTATTTTTTTTTCAAAAATATTTAACTTTTCATATGATATTTCATCTACTTGAAAATAAATTTATAAAAATTTGAATTATAAACAGGAAATTATGCTTTATGTTATAGCGTGCATCGTTTTATAGACAAAAGGGCAATAAGCCAGAATATTGAGTACGACATGTGCATTGCACGTGAACCACTCTAGGGACAACAAGGTAATTTAATTTATTCCATTTCTTTTAGACCATTATAGAAAGTACGTCAATTTATCATGACAAACCCAATATTAAAATGTGAAAAGACCATAACACCCTTTACTTTTAACCAAAATAACATTGTGTTTAATAATTTAGTTATCATTATCTCAAAAGGTTTTATTGTAATAAATAATGAACGTATTTTCGTTTGACCAAGAAGGTGAAAGTAATAAAACTACGATAGTTCTCCAATAAATACTCAAGAGTAAATTATGTATTTTTTTTATTAACTTGAAAATTCAACCCGCTATGTGAGCCGATTAATCTCAGGACGACTACATGCTTTGTAAATAGTCCGAAGTCATCGCATTTGAACCTTCATGAACACAATGAGATTTTTATTCATTCTTGTATTTTTGATATTTGGAGTTAAGATCAAACAAATCAGACACTACTCTTGTGGTTTATAATCTAAAAACTTGAAATCATGAAGATTTTTTTTTATTAAAGCTTTTTGGATAATTTGGTAATTTTAAATTCTTTTCATAAATAAACATTCTGAAAACAATATTTTACCTATTTTTAAATTTGATTATTTTGATTACAAACAACCAAAACTAGTTTACTAAAATAATTAACTGAATAATTATAATAAGGGGCCGTTTTATCAAACGTGTATCTGGATAAGAGTTTATCAAGTAAACCAAAAATCTTACCCGGTAAGAACGAGACAAAGACCGAAAATCTTATCGAGTAAATAAGAACGACGATAGGGTGGTGCCTGGTTGGTTTGAGCTTGGCTCCGAAGGTCAAAAGTACATGGAGGTCCCAGATTCAAATCCAATAAGAAATAAAAATCCCTTTGTAGTCACAGAAGTTCAAATGCGGTGACTCGAGGTTCTCTGCAAAGCAAATGGTCGTCATGGGATTAATCAGCTCGCATAGCGGGTTAGATGTCCAGGTTAAAAAAAAACGACGATAATTAAAAGAGTCATAGGAAAATATACATTTACTTTTGAAAATGGGTATTTATTTTCAGAGAAAATAAAATAAAAAATGGACACTTATTTTGAAATGGAGAGGTTATAATTTAAGACAGAGATCAAAAAACATAAGTGAAAGAGGACATCAAAATATCAGATAATTAGAATCAGTTTATCCAAATACCAGAAACTTATAATAAAGATGCTAACATTTTCATTCAAGTTGATTAATTGACATGCAAATAATCTGAATCAATTTATTTAAATGAGTTAAACTAAATGCATACCTGTTTTTCAACATCATCGTCACAGACATCAACATCAAAATACCATTATTATAATTAATAATATACAATTTTTAAATGATTTTGATATAAATAAATATACACATAACAACATTCTGTTTAAATAAAGAAGAATTGATAATAAAGATGGGGTCGGCTAATTGCACCATTAAAATTTACCTACTGTATTTATACAAATTAATTTTCTTTTTATACAGATCAACATCAAAACTAGGGGTGAGCATAGGCGGGTACCCGCCCTATTTGACAGAAACCGGAATTGGCAGTTCTTGAGATATTAGAACCAGAACCGGTTAGAGAGTTCTTGAATTTTTGGAACCGGAACCGCCGGGAACCGGTTCCGGTTCTGAGTACCCGCTTCCTAAAATATTAAAATTTTGTTATTTAGAAATAAAAAATAAAACATTGCCAAAACACTAAATAAACAAACAAGAATACAAATTATATGAAATAATGGTTACAAATATTGTTTAACGATTACAAACCATAATAGACTAATGGTAAATGTTGAAAGTTTAACGATTACGTACTATAATTGTAAATGTTCAAAGTTTAATGATTACATACTACGAATCCAATTAAACACACAATTTGAAAAAATACGAATAATTTTATCTCAAATTCTGAATCTCGTTTCAACTTCTTGCATAGCCATCACATCCTCAACCTCGTATGGCACCTGTGAATAATTGAGTGTTAAAAAAACTACACAAACTCGTAAAAAACTGCATATATTTTTAACTAAAAACTGCATATATTTTTAACAAAAAACTACACAAATTTTATATAAAAAAACTGTACAAATTACATAAAAAAAAACTGCACAATCGGTCCCGACAGATACCCGGCGGGTAACGGTTCCAAAAAATTGAGAACCAGAACCATTCTCAATTGGTTCCGTATTTTAGGAACCGGAACCACTCATATCGGTTCCGGTTCCGGAACCGGCAGTTCCGGTTTCGCAAGTGGGTACCCGGTTCCGCTACTCACCCCTAATCAAAACTTAGTTTTTACATTTTCAATATATAATTTGATCTGATTCAGATATCTCAGGTTTGCTTGGCTCATGTTCAGAAATGAAAACGAAAATGAATATATAAAAATGACAGGAAATGAAAACGGAATGAATATGAAAATGACAGAGAATGAATTTTCATTCCACACAGTTTAACAATGAATGAAATTTTGGGTTCTAAAGGAATGAGCTTGTTATATTATAAAAAACCAAACAGTTTTTTTTTTATTTTCATTCTTACTGATTACTGTTTAATACTTCTAATCAATAAAAAATACAATGTAGATACAAGTGTACCCTGTAAGGATTAGAGAATTGATTATTGATGAATTTAAATTAATAAAAAATAGTAAGGGAATAATAAGTCACACAACAATGAAGCTGGAGCTGGTTGGTAACCGTGGGGTCTACTTGAAGCTTGAAATAAGCACCACTGCCTACCGCTTTAAATTCAGACCGCCTTATTTACATGCTTCTCGTCTCTCTCCTTCCTTTTAAACCTCTCTCTCTCTTCTTCACCTCTCTTCCATCACCAATCCCTCTTTCCATCCATTAACACCAAATCAAACATGAACAAGCAAGACTTCATGAAGCTTCAGGTACTTAATTTCAACCTCACACACACACTAATTGCTTTTTTTCCGATTACTCACCGCTTTATTTTGGTTGTTTTTGATGCAGACTTGTGTCCTCAAAGTTAATATACAGTGCGCCTGTGATGGCTGTAAGCAGAAAATTAAGAAACTCTTGAATAAAGTCGACGGTTAGTCATGATCCTCTTCGTCTTTTTACACAAGTTTCAACCGTATCACCTTGATCCAGTAGAACATGTAGAATCGTATTTTGAGGCTTTTTGTTTTTTTGCTTTTATGATAATGTAGAGATGTTACCATTCGTGTTCATCAAGTTTCGGATACTTTTTAAGAGAAGAAACAGGTTTAATTAAGAGTATAACTACTATATCCTTGCTAGCAATTAAGGAGACTCGAACCTGAATCTGAATCTGAGTTTACTAAATTAGGTTGAAAATGATGAATAGTTCACACACGGTTTCTAATTCTATAAAGTAACCAGAAATAAACAAAGAAGATATTAACTGACCTTGATAGCGATGAGATTCAAACATCGGGAAGAAGGTCGTATAATTTATTACTATTATTTTTCTGCAACTTCCTAGAAATTTGTTATGTACGGAATTTACTACGTCATTTCTTTCTAAATTCGAAGTTGAAATTCGCCATTTGAAAACTGAAATTAGCATATGAACATCTGAATGCATATGAGATGTAAGATGTTTCATCGTGGCTTGATATTTGGTAAATTTGTCCATAGATTTTGGGTTAATGGTCTTAATTAATTGGGTTCTTCTTTTTTCGCAGGAGATATTTTTAGATATTTTGTTAATAAATTGGTTAATTGTGAAATACCTAACATCCTTTTCCCTACCGCTTACAAATTGTACAGTATTTTTGTATTCTTTCACTAGTACTTCTTGATATCAATGATAAAAGACAAAATAAACAAGTTTTATAATAAAGATATTTGTGGGTAGTCGTAAAGTGTAAATAATGAAATTTGATATGACGATACTTGGTCCATGGACTAGACTAGTCCTGCTGAAGCTGCTGCGACCACCCCTGACATGACCTGTCCCCCTCGAACCACGTGCTTTCCAAATTCTTACACCTTTCCTTTTTTATATTTCACCAATAATTCCCCAGTATTTAATTTAAACTTCTCTTTAAAAGAATTAAATCTTTGTTTTACAAAATACTTCAATAACTTCTTGAATTTAGAAAGGAAATGGAGAATTTCAAGTAGAAACCTTCTCTAAACTGTTATTTGTTTTCAATCTAATTTAGTGAAGGCACACATCTAGCTTAATTGGTAAAGGAGCTAACCGAGTATACTTCAATATAGTAAACCCTTTTACTGGCCAATACCTTATGGGAAGATTATATTTGGTGGATGGTAAAAAAAGCTAATTATATAATAACTATAAATTAAAAGAATTGTAAATTTAAAAAGTAAATAAAGGGAGGGCGGTGGAAGGAAAGCTACTGGTGGTGCGAAAGTGGTTTGCGTGTTGGCACCTAAATGTTTTGCTTTTAGGCTAGAAGAAGGGGAAGTGTGAAAGTGCTTTGCGTGTTTCCACACTTTAGTTGTTACTTTTAAGTTTTGAATACTGATATTTTTGACTAATGATACCTATAATGCTTTTTGATAATGCAAAATTGAAAATAACATGTGGGTTTTAAATGAATGTTGCGTGAATATGTAAAACTGTATTAGATTATTGGTTAAGAGAGTTTTTGATACGAGAAAAGAGGTTTCAACGTATACTGATATTTGGTGAATATATTTTGAACAGGGGTGTACAAAACAAGCATAGACCTTGAGCAGGGAAAAGTGACAGTTACCGGAAATGCAGATCCCGCCGTGCTTGTAAAGAAACTTGTCAAGTCTGGGAAACATGCCGAGCTATGGGGACAGCAGAAAGGTGGTATGAATCTCTTCAATAACCAGTTCAAGAACATGGGTTTTGATAACAAGACTCAGAAGGGCGGGGGTGGGGGGAAAGATAAACAAAAGGATGGGAAGGGTCAGCAACAAATGCAAGCAACAATGAGTAAAGGGTTTAAAGATATTAAGCTACCTAACAAGGACCAGAAGTCTGTCAAATTTAGTTTGCCGGCAGGCGGTGGGGGTGGGTTTGACGATGAGGATGATTTTGATGATGACAGTTTCGACGACGACGATGACGAGTTTGACGATGAGTTTGACGATGAGTTTGATGATGATAGCTTTGATGGGTATGATAAAAAGCCTAATAAAATGATGGCAGGTGGGCATGGACCCCATGGGCCAATGGCGATGATGAATGGCCATGTGAAACATGATGGCAATGGAAAGAAAGGACCAGGTACAGTGGTTGAATTGCCTGTACAATTCAAGGGCAAGGGAGGAAATAATGATGCTAAAAATGGCAAAGGAGGGAAAAAGGGTGGTGGTGGGGGCGGTGAAGGTGGTAAAAAGAGTAAAGATGGCAGTGGTGGTGGGTTTGGTGGGTTTTTCGGAGGTAAGATTGGTGGGGCACTTCTGGGTGGCGGTAAAAAGAAGAACAATGGAGGAAGTCCTAAGGAGGGCAAGAAAGGTGGCGGTGGGGTCGGGGGCGGTGGGCAAATGAATGGTGGTGGTAAGAAAGGAGGAGGAAAGCATCTTGATGAAGGAAAATTTAATGGTAGCAATAAGCAAAATGAGTTCCTCGAGTTTAGCAAGCCTCAAAATGGTGGTGGTATGCGGAATATGAACCCTAATGGCGGTGGCGGCGGTGGTGCTCGGAATATGAGTCAGATGGGTGGTGGTGGTGGTGGTAGTGGTAGGAATATGAGCCAAATGGGTGGTAATCCAATGATGCCCCAAATGGGAAACTACCCGATGGGACAAATGGGAAATTACCCGATGGGGCAGATGGCATCGGCACAAGGGTTACCAATGGCGGCTCCAGGTTACCGTGGTCAAGGAATGGAACAGAGCAACCCTTACCAGCAACAACAGTACCAACAACAACAATACATGGCGGCAATGATGATGAATCAACAACGGGCGAATATGTACCCGCAGATGATGTATGGTCCACCACCGTCTTCCGCCTACGGGCCGCCACCAGTGAACGACAACATCACTCACATCTTCAGCGACGAGAACACTGATAGTTGTAGTATTATGTAGAATTAGAATTTGGGAGTATTTGTTTGGGTTTTAATTATTAAATTTTGTTTGAATTAGATAAATTAAATTTGATAGGAGGCAGAAAGTGATGATGGTAGATTAGAGGAAGAAAGTAAGAGCTTGTAGCTTGTCCTTTGTTGATAGTGTATGTGTTTATGTATCAAAAATCCAAAGTTTTGCCTCTAATCCTATCTTAACTATAATTCATTGAAAATAACTTGCTTCATTTCCCTTCAAAGTTGACAATGTAAAAAAACTAATGTGTTGTTTACCTGATAAGTGCTTACTAATAAAATTCAACATCATAATTTATTTTGATACGTAAAATTTTAGTACATCAAAACATATTGAATGTAATAAATTATTAGGTAAGTGCTTACCTAGGTAAAAATCATCATACTTATTTACCAGGTTTAGATCCTCACGAGTAATTCATTCGGTTTTTGATTTCTTTCATATCAATATATCATTACACCAAAATTCCTGGATCCGTGCTAAAAACGGGTCAAGTTTTATTGGAAATGGATATCAACACGGGTCTTTGGCTGTGTAGATGCATATATGGTATGTGTGTTTTTTATATTGGATAGTAGTCGGTTAAAGGGCAGGGGGAGAAGGGAGAAGGGAGAAGGGAGAAAGAGGGCAAACACGAAAGATGCATTCCTTCGGTTACAGAGCCAATGCTCTCCTAACCTTTTCTCTCACTATTCTTGCTCTCATGTGCGCCATGGCTTCTGTTTCCGACAATCTCAACTCTCAATCCCCAACTGCCACCGTCCAGGTTTCTCTAAAACCCTAGTCAATTCATGTATCGATTTCATTTTCTTACTCATCAGTCGGAACTTTGAGTAATTACTTCTTTTTGATTTGTGCTTTTGTAGGTCTTGAATGTTAATCGGTTCCAGAAGAAATCAAACGGAGATGATGAGGTAATTAATATTCGTCTGCGTTTTTCCCGTCGAAATAGTTTGACTTGGAATAGTGAAGCGATCCGTTGGATTTTAGGGTTATTATACACCATTTTAAGGGAGGTATTGTCGATTTTGATCTGTTGACATTTTGACGACCTTTTGTTCTCGAAAGCTATGATCTTGGATACTGAGGTTTTTTGGAAGATGGAGGGTCTTTGGTGCCGCTCTTGTGAATTAAGAATATATCCACAATCAAAATCTAAAACATGAATTTCTTGCATCTTAAGGTGTTTGGTCAACTTGGAGATAGGAAAAACACTTTCAATCAGCTAATGGCAGTATAAGCAACTGCAGTCAGTAAGCAGTTAACTATTGATGGTAATATTAGTGATTATAGTTTGTTGGATACCTATATGAAGTTCGAAGATGTGAGCAAAGTAGATCTGGCTGTCTTATGATGCTTAGAATGATAGAAGCATTACTCTGCTGTTAGATTTTGATGATAAAGTATCGTAAGATCAAATAGGCAGGAGTTTTAGTCTGAGGCCTGGTCTCAGTTTTTAGATACAAAGCTTGGTAAATGAAAGGCTTTGTTTGATAAAGGCTTCTAAATCTTGCATGTTGATTGATCCCTGCTATCTCTTTCTGGAAGAATGGAGGAAAGGGGATTCAGAACTAGTACATTGAATGCAATCCTGTTGTGTTGGTTCTACCATTATGATTGTGGAAGTCATGGCACTAACTTATCAGATGTCAAATCATCGTCATTTGAGTTGCAAACAGATTTGATTTGGCATATGCAGGTCATAATATTTTTACTCGACACTGAAACGTAGCTTCAGCTTGGTTGCATACAGGTTTAAGATTGAGACAATTGTTGGTTTATGGTAATTTTGTAGATCGCAAACAGATAAGTCATTATATTGGGTTGGAAAATGGATGTAAATATGGTGGACAATTGGTTACAAGCTAAGTCACTATGTCTATATAACTTGAAGGAGGTGTATTATATGGTTCAGGAAGCAAACATTGAACTGTACTTGACTTTTGTAAAGATCTTCCACCCTTGCCACATAGGATAGGACCGTAAACAATTCTGTCCTTTTCATTGGTTGGATTCACGTTACTTGGATCCTGACCTATCCCAATTAGTGTGTTGATAAGATGTTAGTTAAAGATAGAAGTAGAGAAAATTGAACATGGCAAGTGTTGATGAAAATCACAGAGGGGAAAATGTTTATGACAAAAAATATAATATAAAATCATAAAGAAAATATGTAAAAGGATAGCATACAAGCGTAGTTATTCTGTTGTCTCATCAAGTCATGCCACTAGCAAATCGCTAGGGCTCCATGACTACACAACTAATGCCATGCCATCCATATGATAATTACATTTATTTTAGTTCAATGCATTGACCTTAATTATAATGAAAAGTACAATGCCATAAAAATTGCAACCATATCATCATTTAGCCTTCAAACAAAAAAAACCTGATGTTAAAAACTATGAAGACAAGTTAACATTCAATAATACTACATATATGGTAAAGCACCGGCCAAGTCATAATGCATTAGTTAAGTAACTAATCCACTACATAGTAAGGCAAGTTTCTCCCTCGCCTCTTCCTAGCTTTGATTTTTTTAATAATGATAGGCCTTTTTCCAATTTTTGGATTCGTTTGGATTATTTGGGCATCAGTTAAACCTACAATGTTGATTGTTGCCTGCAAACATATCAAGAGGGTTTGCAAGAATTAAATATTTAACAAAGACTAGATACAAACTTGTCCACCCATAACATTCAAAGACAGTTGAAGTACACATCAATGCCATGCGATGTCTAATAGTTTATATACACAGCATTACTCTTCTTAGTTGGTACCTTTGCTAAGTTGCTAGTTTTTATGTCATTGCATTTGTTTTTGAGCTTCTCCGGCTCAAAGATGTACCCTATTGAGTCCAAACTCCACAAGGTTTGCCGAACCAATCTCCACAAAGGTTTTCCGAACCATCCTATTTGTAAAAACTTTCTTTTTTTAAGGGTTACGCATTTAATCCTATACTCATTATTGTCTAATTGAAATAGAGGTGAACAGTTTGTATCATCTAGCATGTTTATACATCAAATATGGTTCTGAGACTGCTGAATATTAGCATTCATATCATTGAATACAGCGCTAAAGTGTGTGTGCATAAAAATGGAAGGGTGATGGGGGGTTTAAATTACTTGTCCCTGACCCTCAGTTGCATTGGACCATAATTATAGTTGTATTACCTTTAATAGATAGCAATATAACAATGCAATATCTTCCATTTATGCAGGTTGGAATTACACTGGATATATCTGCAGACCTACAATCATTGTTTACGTGGAATACCAAGCAGGTTCTATAAGATATTTGTTATTATTATTGGTTATTGTTGTTCGTTTGCAATATTCCTTATGTAGTTTGTACTGATAAGTTGGAGATCAGTGGTGACCTTATTTGATTATGCCGTAGAGGAAATTTAGTTTCCATATTTCAACCATTTGCAAAATTTTACCCTGAAAATTACTTGCTTACATCCGATTTTATCCTCATTGTGGCATTGAATGGAGCAGCATGAGTATTGTTTTAGGGTTCAAGACTTCTTTTATAATCTCTTCCCTTTATTCTCTGTAGCATTCACTCTTTTTCATGTTGACGACATAAGTCACTTGTCCGAGCCCTATTTGAATGCATTGCTTGTTTAAATGAATGGTTTTTTATTTAGGTTTTATGGCTTGATGATGTTTTTAAACATCTTTTCTTTATCTTCCTTAATCAAGTAGATGCTTTGTCCAAGTCAGAGATGCCGTAGATGTACATTCTAAAGAATTATTTAATATCGCTGTATCTCTGTAGCTGATTATGCGAGTCAGGAGTCAGGACTGGAAAGTTTCATGCTCAACTCTATGTTTAGGCTTTGTTGGAGGATTCATTATCATCTTGTTTCTTGCCTGCAGGTTTTTGTATTTTTAGCTGCTGAGTACAGTACTCCAAAGAATTCCCTGAATCAGGTAAGATTTTGCACTTTTTACAAAATTTAGCTGTGTGTTAAATCTTTGGTGTTTTTTAATTTGTAAATTTGCTGAGTTTATTCGCAAACATTTCATACATATATTTATATTATTCTTAATGAAACTTCGCTTTGCTACTGAGAATCATAAATTTGGTCATGGTTAGAGCATATATATCAAATTATCAATCAAGACAAACTTGACAGAAAAATCTGGAAACCAACTTCAAAACCGGAACAAATTGTACTATGGTAAATGCAAAGGATCCATGTCGATACAAGTATGATTTTTTTAGTAAGCATACAAATGCAGACATCATTTGCTAAGGCCTAAGGGACACTAAGGGCCTGTCTGTTAGCAGCTTAATGTGTTTAATGAGACTCACAGCGTATTCCGTCAGCTATATATGACTATTTGGTAGTGGCTTAATGATATACAAAGTGGCTTATTCAGTAAGTTTCTTGGGGGAGCTTTATGCAGAAAGCCAAGGTTTTTCTGAAACTGTCACTCCCAGTTAAAAAAAACACTCTTCCATCTATGAATAAACCCTCCCAAACAAAAACCTTCCCAATCTATACAAACAGATTAATCCACATAGACAGCTTTATCCATGCAGGACTTAATGGAAAACCAACCAAACAACCCCTAATGCTCTAGTGAACTTCATATATATATAATATATATATATATATATATATATATATATATATATATATAATAGGGTTGGGTTTCGGTGAGAAGTGAAGTTATGGTGAGAAAATTAAGAAGAGACCTCCATCCTTGGATCAATCCTAATTGAATGCCAACACTAATGAGGTGCACCAAGATGCACTAGATCAATTCCCTTCTAAGGTGCAATTCATGGGTGAGCATGAGATTAAAAGTAATCAAGGGTTCAGATCTCTTTTTACGCTTCTCATCATCATAACTTCCCTTCTCACACGATCCTTTGCCTATATATAACGTTCTATGTTCTTAACATTTGAACTTTGTCTATCATCATCTTCCATATAAACTGTTCTCTCCTGCAAAGATGATGCAAGTGAAGTTTATTTGGCAATTTATTAGATGATGGGAGGATGACTGTGTTCCATTTACAATAGGTTTCATTGTGGGATGGTATCATACCAGCAAAAGAAGATGCAAAATTTTCCATAAAAACCAAGAACAAGTACCGATTCATTGATCAGGTAATCAATTCAGAGTATTTTTTAAAGCATTATTTTGTCTCTTGATCAGCTACTTAATCCCGATGGTTGGTTTTGTTTACATATTCAGGGAAGTAACCTTCGCGGGAGAGATTTTAACTTGAGTTTGCACTGGCACGTGATGCCAAAAACTGGTAAGATGTTTGCGGACAAACTAGTCTTGCCCGGTTATCGCTTACCAGAGTCATACAGATGACGCTAATACCATATGATGATTTGATGACAATAGCCAGACAAATCACCTTGTTTGATGATTACTTGAACCAGAGAAACTAAAGGGAAATCTTACTTGTGAAACTATGGTCATGTGAAGTAGACATACTCTCTTTTTTATTCCCTTTTTTTGGTTGTTTAAGGTTTAAAGCCAGTTTGTGAACCAACGAACGGAGACTTTTTGTCTTAAATTGAAAAGAAAAACATGTTTAACAGACTCTAATGGCATGTTTATTAACAATTTAATGGGACTTGGCTTATTGGTTACATGATTGTTTGGTAATGGCTTAATAACATCAAAATTGACTTGTTTAGAAATGAGATCGGATGTTATTCCAGTTCGTCACCATTTTAGTGAAACTCTTCCTTAAGCTTCCAAAAGGAATTTTATGCAAAAAAAATTCAAAACTGCTCATTTGTAATTAAAAAATATGTTCATTTTCATCTATGAAAAACCCTTTTCAAAGAAAAACCTCCCCGATCTATATAAGACAAATTAATTCACAAAGACAACTTTAATCATAGAAGAATTAATAAAAACCACCAAAGAACCCAAAAAAAGCTTATGATGCAATTAGTCGGCTCGCATAGCGGATTGGATATCCAGGTTAATAAAAAAAAAAGAACTTGTGATGCAAGCATCAAAACGTAGGTGGTGGTGGCTTTAAGGGGTGTTTGAGATTGTTTATAAAAACAACTTATTAACTTGTCCTGGTGTGACACCAGTACTAAACACTTTTAAGTGTTTGGATAAACAACTTATACCGATGCCGAACTGGTAATAAGTTTTTGAAGAAATTAAACTCTTCTGACTTATAATAAGTTGATAAGTACTTTTGTAGAAAAACATAAGTTGTTTCAAATAAACAATCCCAAACACCCCCTTAATTGAATGCAATTAAAATTTAACCGAAATTTTTGGCATTTTTAGGTACAGCATAAATTGGTACATAGATCTTTACGCTTGTTAATAAGACGCATATCTTATGCTCCAAAACCCTATTTTGTGTGGGATTTACAACGATATGATTGCTGTTGGTATTACAAGAGCATTTTAACAAAGCAGGATAACAGAGCTTTTCGTTCAACACTAAACAAGAGACGATAGGAACAACATTACGCCACATCGTTTAGTATATAATGCACACGTCTACAATTCTTGCCATCGATCTGCACTATTGTACACGTTCCTTCTGTATACCTTCTTTTTTTCCCTTCTCAAGCCAGCTATCCCGCTTGTTAGCTGAATATAACCGATACAAACTGACTTCCAAAAATTTCAAACAATACCTGATCCAACATACAAACCATCAACCTTCCAACCCATAACACGGAAGATATATCACGTGTAAGATCATATATCATCAGATCACAGGTTTTCCGAGAATATGGTCAAATGGTCTGTCTGAGTTAATGGGCATGCAGCATTTTCTTCAGAATGCATGATCAGAATTGGAGCTTTGCAATGAGCAGGCTTAATGCTATAAAGAACACATAAAGACCAACAAGACAAAATCCCCAGAATCTAGGCACGCGAAATCGGCACCAAGTTACAACCAACAGTGATCCCATCAGGCTCAGAATCAAGAAAACAAACGCCACCACGATACTCACATGGAATTGAAGCTCGTAAGCTTCTGGGTACACATTAGCCGTCTGTATCACTAAAGCCATTCCGAGCCCAAAAAGCATATTGAACATCGGACCAGCGAAGCATCCAGCCATGGCCATAGCCGGTTGGCCTGCTTTGGCCACAGCAACATCTGCCACGAGATCCCCCACTGAATTCCCCCAAGCTAACACAGTTAAGCCAAGAAGTGATGGAGGCACCTCCATAAGTGATCCTAGTGCTGCAAGACAGTTGAGGAGTTCTCCGGCCATGGTGGAAATCCAAAACACACTCATAATAAATCCCATAAGCACTACGGGCATTTGTTCGGTTCTTGGGGGCTTTCTTTCCACTACAAAATGGACAATTGCCATTGATGAGCTTCCGAAGAGAACTACTAACCACAGAGGAAAATGGACATTTGGAAGGAGAAAAACAATGGGATGACTTAGAGGCATGACTGATTTGCATGAGTACATAAGAGCAAGCGGGCATAGTGCAATATTGGCGGATCGATAGAGCCTGCTCCATTCAGAAGGTGATGCTTGTGGGATCGTGAGCTTTAACATCGTTGATACAGGGAATTCCCAAATTTTTGATATCTGCTGGCAAGAAAGATTGATATTGTGATTACCTGTAGATTGTTTAGACTTCATAATAGATGCACGATATTGAACACAATAAGTGTATCCCATAATTCATTCAAACAAGGGAGCAAATATGGGGTCATTATTGATATGGCGAAGATGCTCGCATATGAAATAATTATTCAGTCAATTGCATCAAATAATTATTGAAATGAAGCTACTTGGTACTATACACGATTTCTCCTCGACTTTGGTGGAATTTGAACCCTTGACCTCCAGGCTCCAGGGAGGCTAAGATTTATCAATAACCTGGATACTGCAGGTCCAATGACCCTTTGGTGAGTTCTACATGTTTTAGATACTCGATAACACGAAACTAACCCATTCATCGTACTACATCATGGATCTACAAAATCCCTGATATTGTACAAAGATAAGGTTTACCTAAATTTCTTATGTGAACATAGAATAATTATTACAGAAATAACTTTTAGTAGTCACAACTAACAAAAAGATGATCAGGTCAGGTAAAATAAAAGAAAAACACGAAAGTAAATTTATAATACAAGAAACAAGTATTGGAAAGATCAAATTTGGTGCTTTTTGATCCCCAGTTGCTATGGGCTTCTGTTTTTTTGATCTTAAAGTAGTGTTTAATGTGTTAAAACGTCTAAATGGATATGTTATGATGAAGTACACATTTAATTACTAATAAACTTTTATCAAAAGCTACCTTCACTTCCATTGTGCTTTTGTAGAATATCGTTTAGGTTTACAATACGATAGCATGTACACACATGCATTTATGAATATATGTAATGTATACACATATGTAGACATCTAAACATGTATATATAGACACACAAATATATTCATGTACACACACACATATGTATACATACATACATACGTGTGTGCATACATCTATGTATATGTCCATGTATCTATCTATACAATTATGTAATATGGGTTGAGTTCACGTGAGACCCGTAAGACCAATTTATGTTCATTGATCAACTTTATAAGCTAATGATCTAATGGTTTAAAGTTGCACGGTGGCAATTTTGTGATTATTGAGAAGTCTTGTGGCGTTTATGAATGTTCAGATTGTCAGATTGTAGATCTAATCCAAGGGTTGAGAATTGGTCTTACGGGTCTCACGAAAAACCATTGGTCTCACATGATCCCAAGTCTATGTAATATTGCATATATGTCCATCATGTTTATTGAATGTATATATGTACATGTATATCTATGTACGTGTGTTTAGTTCATACACCATCCGGGTTTGTTTTTATGATAGATGGGTCCTTAGCTTAAAATAAGAGGCTTTTCATCCCACCGTCTTGAGGAATATGTTGTCAAAGCTTTCACTTACCCACATAAAGTTGGACAAGGATGCTGGAAAAGCTTTGACAACATTTTATAAGAGGCTTTTTATCCAACTTCATGCTGGAAAACATTGAAGTAAAACCTAATTTCAATAAAACTTCAATTTCAGGAGGCAATGAACATGAACAGCCAAAGAATGAAGTATAAGTCAGTCAGCATTCTTTAATCTCATCTTCCACATAAGTATATTTCGTTTCCTTAGATTCAACCTTTCACCTCTCTTTCAGTCATAGGTTTTCTTCTTCCATCACCAAAGACCAACTTGGAAAAAATATTAATTTGAAGATGTGGACGCTTCACATGTCATAAGATATCTTTCAAGGAAAATCATTTACATATTCAATATTTTTATCCATGTGCAATATTGCAAAAGTGTAGGATGCATGTATCTTCTCTAGAGACGCTACTATACACTTCTATCATCATTCTGTCAAACGATTTTCTATTTGGGCAAATTGATTCATGGACATACTGAAAGGCTACATATGAACTTATTCAAGGTTTGTAGTTGTTACATCCGAATCTAGTACTAGTAACATCATTTTGGACTTCAATTGCATAGTTGTAGCATAAAAAAATGTGTAGCACCATCATTCTATGCAGTAACATCAAATCAGTGGCCCTCTATAAAACAAATTACAAATGTGGTTACTTTCTGTCTTCAATCTTTATACTGAAGAAACCAACAATTTCCATCATAGACCATCTACTTGTGTGTCAAACCCTTTTTCAATGGGTAATGGAAAATGCTTTGAATACATTAGAATCTCCATGGCCCTTACATCACCCAAAAGTTAATAGTTATCTAAGTGGTTGCAGTTTTTCCTTTTCATTGTGTTCCTAACTGAGGAAACGATGCATTTAAGCATTGCAGCAAGTAGTTGTTTGCCCGTACAAGTTATTACAATAAACAATTAAAAAAGTTCAAGTTCTGAAAATTCCCTCATAAAAAAGTAGTGACTTTAATCGCCAAGAGAGATTCCTTCAAATAAATTCTCCTGTAGAGTTAGCAACAGATGCATGCACATTTAACATTCTCTATATACATTTCGCAAGGAGAAATTCTAGTTTCAAAACACAAAACTTAGACTAGGTTGTATAAGAGTTAACATTATGGCAAAAGCTATCGTGAATATATCAAAGAGAAACAACTATGAGCATAACAAGTTAACAACCATGATGAGCATCAATGCAGCCACTAATTTACAGTTATAAATCTCTAATTTCACCCAAAAAAATCATCATAAAAGGGAACCCCATGAACATGTTAGCAATTGATGCACATCTCAGCAAAAATACATACTTAGTGTACCACAAACATACTCAAAATATATTCCAAGATTAAAGCTATACTGCTATAACAATTATCAAGTAACCAAGATGAATCTATAACTAATTATGGCTATACTTACATAACCACATATGTTCCAAAACTAATGACACATTTCCACTTCAAGAAGTCAATTTGCTCTATCCTAACTTTTGAAATTGACACAAACTCATTCAATGTATCTTAAATACAGTGAATTAGTGGCAATCATCAACTTCACTACAAAACTCAACGTTTGGTGGTAAGTCATGGTGGTTGCCATATGTTTGGTCAAATCGTTATATGATAACTGAATTCATATCAAGCAGATGCCCTACAAGAAGCAGCAGATTATAACTTTCTGATTGATCAATTCAACCAATTGCTGCACTCATGGCCACAGAAAGAAGATATAAATCCAAAAAGAGAATGTATAAATTACTCCATGTAGAACATACCTTTTCAAAAGCTTGCCGAAACCCAAATCCTGTCTTCTTCTTGGTGAAATCCATACCATTACTTCCATTTTCAGAATCAATTTCCATCGAACCTTTATGATCATCATATCCATCCCCAACAAGACCCACAACCTCACGGCTACCAACCTTCGATTTCCCACCAGTATCCATCCCGAAATCCATCCAAAACACAAATCCAACAAAAGCCAAATAAAACCCAACAAATCCAACCGCCTGCCACAGGAAAATCTCGGCACTAAGGTACACATAGAACAGAAATAACGCCGCAGTCAAATAAAACAAAACGTCCCTTATGAAAGGCGCAGGGGAAACTGCGAAGGGCGCTGCATAGATCGCAACAAATCCAACAACGAGAGCCGAAACGAAAGTACCGGCTGACAAAATCGCGCCGAACCCAGTTCGCGCGTTGCCACCACCGACGGCGGCGATCGATGCAAACACATCGGGGGCGCCGTTTCCAAGTGCTAGTAGCGTGACTGCACCCATACTGGGAGACAAATTCAAGTGTGTGGCTAGTTTAGTGACAACGACGGAGAACTGATCCTGGGCGGTCTTGACCAGGATGTAGAACTGTAAGACGACGGTGAGTGAGAGGAAAGGGATGGAGAGAAAAGGGTTTTGATGGAAGTGGCAGAAGTGAAAGGAGAAGTAGTTGAGGAGGCCATTGGAGTCAACGGAGCAGTGATGGGTGGAGAAGGAGCAGCGCTGATTTGGTTGGATTTGAAGAATGTGTGAACAAGTGGTGGTGTTGAGGAGTGAACGGCGGTGGATTGTGGAAGGAGGAAGATGGTTTGATAGGAGGAGGAAGAAGAAGATCAAAGTGAAGAGGAGGAAGAGGAAGGTTGAAGCGGTTTTGGGGAAGGAGAAGGCCATGCCATGTCCCGAATAAATGTTGCCGGTGATCGGAGCCCGAGCTCTAAAAATGCGTCGGGATTCCTGTATACGCGTTTTTCCAAAGAGATTTGGTGTTTGTTATTTTATTCACAATTATAATTATATTCTCTAAAATTTCAACATTTTCTTTTTCATAAATTCATTACTAGAAGAGTACTCGTGCAATCCAACGAAACACATCTCGGTTTTAATGTTATATTTTATTATTTGTCTATATTGATATTATAATACTATTTGATGTGTTTTTAAGAAAACATTAATGATTTTATTTTTGAATAAAATATAAATTTTAAGATATCATAAAAATTTGAAAAAAATATATCAATGTTAATATCAAATCAATTATTTAAAAGTTGTCATTTTTATGTAATTTTTTTAATTTATTTTTTTATTATAATTTAATTTAAGTTTACTAACGAAATAATTTATTTTTGATTTAATAATATAAAAATTTATTAGATAATAATTAAGTATTCTGTTAGAACTCAATTATTATCCTAATTATATTTTAGATTTTTTATATTTAAAATAATATGTTTATCTTGTATTTGATTATGTTTGTCTGCAGTTAATTACACGAATTCAGATATAGAGCTTTAATAAGTTGTACTTACGCACAATCTACTTGCAATCTTGAATTTTAAGTAATATATATTAATAAACAGTACTTTATGCATAAAAAATGATTTTTAAGAGTTTTTGTCAAATGCTTTGTAATATAGTATAAATAAGTAAAAAAAAATTTAACCTTTAATCTGAAAAAAAGAATGTAATCCCTCACTTCCTCCCTTTTTCCTTGTTCTTCCCTATCGTTGTACAAATGAACATTATCCTCTTTTTTCTTCTTCTTCTTCCCCTTTACTCGTGAACATCTATTGTGATTCCATCAAGAGAAGAACAAATTCATGAATCGAGTAAACAAAGGTGCTGACCCGCAGCAAGGCAGAGATGACTAAGTGACATATGGAAGAGAAAAACAAATCGAGAAACGGATCCAGAATCGAGAAAGAGAAAAACGTTAGTTGCATATTGCTGTGGTTTCATCATCGACAGACGCAAACAGATCGAAGAAGAAGAAGAGGTAGTTTTGTCATGTGGTTTCATCATGGACAGAGGCAAACGTTAGTTGCAGATCGATGTGATTTCAATCGAAGAAAAATAGAGCAAGCTTGTGAATATCTTTCAATCGAAGAAAAAGAAGAGAGAAACGAGAGGAATTTTGTTTCAATCTAACATGGTTTAAATATTAAAGAAGGTACTGTTTGAGTTTTTGTTTTAATCAGAGTATTTTTGTCATTTTCAGATTTTTGTGTGGAATGGATTCCAATTCCATCTCTTTTGTGAAGAAACGATGAAATCCACATTTGAGAGAATGTTTGGAATTCAATTCCATTCCATGATGAAATCCACATTTGAGGGAATGTTTGGAATTCAATTCAATTCCATTTAATGGATAACCAAACGTTGTAATAGAATTTGGTCAATGGAATTGATCATTTTAATTCCATCAGATTCCATCGAAATCCGACGAACCAAACGCTCTTTAAAGTCATTTGATTTCTTTTATTTTATTGGCTATAATACTACTGATTTGATAAACCACTATTTTTGTGTTTTTTTTTTCAACTTCCTTTTGCATTTATTATTATTATTATTATTATTATTATAGACGAGACATATTTTACAACCCCTAAAAATCAGTATAAATTATAAAAAACCAATCAATTGAGATATTTATAGAAATGATGAGAGTTTATTTACTATGAATTTGAATATTTATGAAAAAATTATCAAAATTGATTTATTATGATCAACGATTTATATTATAAAACAACTGAAACATTCATTAGACTAGATGAATGATTAAGATTGGTTTGTACTAATAGTTATATTTGTAAATGAAACTACATCTCTCTCTCTCTCTCTCTCTCTCTCTCTCTATATATATATATATATATTATTTCTTAATTATTATTTTTCTATTTACTAATTGTTTTTTGATTTAAGGTTCTTGAATTTGCTATTTAATTGGGGTTTTTTATTTCAATTTAAGGTTTGTTATTAGTTTGTCTCTTAATTATGATTTATTGGATATTTGTTATCTGATTTCTTTTTAATTGAATCTAATTTTTTGGCCTGTCTCATTTTTTCTACAGACTGCTAAATTATATGTTTGTTAACTATTACATAATATGGTTAATCTTTCACTAGGTTTGTTACAAATTATCAGTTGATGTTAAGCACATAAATTGGTTTAACGGTTTGTCCCTCTAGCCATCTTATTCATTATTTATCAGTCAAATTTTGTATTAATACTTAATGTGTTCATTTGCTTCAAGTTTAAACGGAATAGAAAATATATAAATAGTAGCATAATATCTTTCGGTTTAACCGAAATAGTAGAAAGTTAAGCAAAAACTGAACCGGATAAGTTATCTTTATTCGGTTAACCGAACCATTTGAGCCGAAAACGAATAACTCAAAACCAACTTTGTTCTGATGAATTATTCGGTTTCGGAAGTTTTTTGACACTCCAACGTGCGCCCCCAACCAAAAAAGTTTTTTGATCCGCCATTAGTGGCCATAATTGTTGTTGACGCCTGGAATCGAACCCAGAGCAGATGGATATTCCACCGCACCCCCTGGGCCTCATCCACTACGCCACAACCGTTGTGGTTCTCGTAGTATATTCGAAGAGTATTTTAACTTGGCCAACGACCCAAATTGAGCATATGTATGTTAGGGAAATCAGCATGTATTTCATTATTAAAAGAAAAACCGATCAACAACTTAGAAACAAGTTGTGTTCACCATCCTCTACTCCAAAAGTGGATTATGATTTGAAAGCAATCCCAAATTCTGCAAAATAAAAACACAATTCCAATCAATAACAATACTCATGCTGTCACCTATCTTCAACCCAAAGAAAACCCCATCTGGGAAGTCCTAAACTTTACAGTAATTATGAACATTTTGTATAAAGTTAAGGCTTAAAGAACATCAACACGAAGTGTTCCCTCCGTCCCACGAGAACTTCAACAATTGACTATTAGTCCGATATCAAGAACACTCTTCGATTATGAAAAAACAGGAATATTGAGTGAAAAGATCAGTATCAACGATGGTTTGTAATGATAGACAATGGCACATACGAAAAAGTTGGAATTTGAAACATCCCAAAATAACTTCGCCTTCGTATTTTGCCAATAAATGAAAACATTAGAATTGATGTGAAACGCCCAAAATAGAAGTTTGTTGCAATTTTCATGGGACAGAGGAAGGAGTTGTATTAGGCAAATATAAATATAGCCAGTTGTCCTACGCGCAATAATGATATAAACCAAACCGAATCAAACAAACTCAATATATCCCACACGAAAGGGTTTGGGCATGCAGACCTTACCTCTACCCCACAGGGTAGAGAGTTGATCCTGTAAAGACCCCAGCTTGCAAAACAAAGAGTAACAAGAAACAGGTGTGGTCAGTAGCAGAGAAGTGTGCGCAAACAAGCATAGGTTACAGTCGGTGAGTGTGGCAATTGCATTAAGAGGTAAATGGCATCTCAGTAATCAACATACATCAGACAACTATATGATATAATGAATGCATAGAAGTATATCATACAAAACCAGTTCTAGGGAACCCAAGAATTTTTTTTGGATTATAAATACGAAGCTACAAATGTTTTGGTCGATATAAGAGTCACATATCTCCTTTAACCTATCAATCCTCTTAGATGCCATTCTGTTCGTGATCCTCTTTCTCTTCTAATCATGGAAGATTGCTCCATTGTTACAATTTTGGCATCAGACACGCATGCAGACCGTTCTTCTTACTCCCTCCGTCCCAAAAGTAAGCATCCGCATTTCTATTATAGTTTGTCCCACAGTAAGTTTCTAATTCCATCCTTGATTATGAGATGGAGAAATTCATTAATCCCTTTATTATTAAGGGTAAGATTGTCTTTTACTAACTAAAAAATACTATAATAATCACACGTTTATAAAATTCTGTGCCTTTTTCATTGAGCACACTTATTTTGAGATGCAGAGAGTATATGATATGAATCAACAGGAAAGTGAAGGTCTTCACTTGGAATCAGAGGTTTCATAGGTCAGCAAACAATTTTCATTTAAGCATCGGATAGCAATGGTAAAAAAGAATGCATTAGCATGAACTTTAATGAAAACCAGATGAGCGAAAAAGCACAAACCTCTAGATATCAAGAAAAGCGAATGCTTTTAACGATGGATTATTACTCTTGAACATCTATGAATCCGAGGGTGATTGAGGCTGCTGAGGTGGCTGCGGCCAAATTGCTGGAGCCATATAAGGGGGAGGCTGCTGTGCATAAAGAGCAGGATCCAGCATAGGCTTGTTTGATATCATCCCTGGTGTTCCCGACTGCAGTGACTGCTGAGCTGGCATGTAATAGTAAGGAAACGTGTCCGAAGGCCCGCCAACTGGCACAGTTACAGTTGGCATTGATGTCATAGCTTCATCCTTGATATCCTCCCTTGGCACAATATCAACCAAAAAGTCAAAAATATCAGTTCTTGTGATAGCAGCAGCAATATCGTTTTTTTGTAGGGTCCTCCGCTTGTTTTCCTCAGTGTGATTCCACGAACGCAAAGTTAATTCCAAAATGAACATTTCACATGCCCTTGCAAACACGATAGGTGCCTCTGCTGATATCATCCTCACATCCTCATCAGCCTTCATGATCTTCTTGATTCTTGCTAACGGAAGGCTGTGGTTCTTGAAATCATTCACATTTTCGATTTCTCGATACTGGTTTGCCCAAAATGACTGGAGCTGCTGCTGAAGTTGCTGCTGTTGCTGTTGTTGGATTTGCTGATAAGCCAGCTGTTGTTGAGCCAATTGAGCGGCCGTGGGCTGAGTGGTGGCTGGAATGGGGCCACCAGATGTTACTACTGGTCCTCTGCCAGGGGCCCCACTTATTTGGGTTGAATCATATGGATTTGTTGCATATGGTAACTGGGGTACATTACCCATGATGTTGCTAGCCTGGGGTTGCCCATGCCCTTGTAGATCCATCTTGTTTAATATATATGTAATTGGCTCTGGTATCATACGAAGAGGATCAGAAACCTAAAAAGACTTGCTAGAAATTTGAACTCTCATAGAAGGGCATGAAAACATAACGTATTTTGGTCTGATTCTTATTTTGTGTAAGGTACTTTCAAAACCTTCATTTATGTACCTCAAATGTAACATCTCAAACATTTAGGTACTTGATTCACATCTGAGAATGCATGAAAATGCAAAATACTTTGGTTTGTAAGGTCCTGCAAAACCTTCATTCATGTATCTCAAGTGTGACATACCAAACACTTGAGTACCTGATTTACACATGAGAATGCATGAAAATGCAGTCCAATTCCTATTTTGTGTTACGTACTTCCAAAACCTTTCATTTATGTACCTCAAATGTGACATCTCAAACATTTAGGTACCTGGTTTACATATGAGAATGCATCAAAATGAAACATACTTTGATCCGATTCCTATTTTGTGTAACGTACTTTAGTCTAAATGTTAGGCATCATATCTGAGGTACGAAAATGAAGGTTTCGAAAATACATGACCTAAAGTAGGAAACAGACCAAGGTACTCTAGCATTTTCATTCAATTTTTTCATAGAGAAATCGAAAGCGCCATTCAGACCCAGAATGTCCAGGGTAAGGGGATAGGTAAGAATTCAATTTAGGCACTTGATCCCAAATAATAATTTAAATTCCCAAACATTAAAAGCCATACAGCACTGCGCAATGCTCACATACCATAATCAATTCTGAATATTTGAAACTAAGTAGGTTAAATTCCAGAAATCAATAATCTAATCATAATCTTGCTACTGTTACTTGGGAGTAAGATTAGCAGGATTAAACAACACGTATATACTCCCTCCACTACTAAACAGAGATAGATTGGCCTTCTTAATGTTGAACTTCCTTTATACAATTACATCAACAAAAACTATGAATCGAAGCTTTTGCGATCAAAAGTAAAACAAATACATATCGATCGAGTAATCCGCGAAATCAAAAGGTCTAAAAGTATTTCTGATCATGGTGAAAGGATAGAGAACCTGAATCACAACTGACGGTGGAGAATAGAGAGGGAAGGAGAACCTGAATAGGTTAATGATCCAGTTCTAACGAATCACTTGAATCCACGAGCGAAATGAATCATCAAAAATGGGGAAAATTAAAAATGATATTTAGGGAAAACAAGAAATTGAGTATCGATTCTTACAGATAACAAAAGATTAGATGTAGATGTTGATTTTGATGGTGGTGTTGATCAGCTTTTCATCGTCTCGTCGTTTTCGGAGCAAATCCCAGATACAGTCACCGGCCGAACAAACTTTTCAAATGTTTTGTGATCAAAGGAATTATTCTCATAAATAATTTGGTTATTTATGCTGCCTATTTAATATTCCTTGAAACATTCGTTTTTTCTTTATTCGGTAAGTTATTACCTATTAAAACGATATTCGTGCAATGTAGTGAGATACATCTTGATTTTAATATTTTGTTTTATTCTGTTCTCTGTCGATGTTATAATACGGTTTTAAGAAAAACGATAATGTATTTATTTTTAAATAAAATATAAATTTGAAGATACTTAATTTTTTTTTAAATATCGATCTTAGTATCAAATTAACTATTTAAAAGTTCTTGTTTTGTTGTGTAATTTCTTTAATTCAACTTTTTTTTTGTTATAATATAATTTAAGTTTAATAAGGAAGTAATTTATTTTTGATTTAACAATATAATTTTTTATAAGGATAATAATTAAGTATTATGTTAGAAGATAATGATTATCCTAATTATATTTTAGATTTTTATATTTAAAATGAAATGTTAATCCAGTATTTAATTATGTTTATCTGCAATTAGTTACACGAATTCAAGTATTGAGCTTTAATAAGTTGTAGTTATGCATTATTTACTTATAATCTTGAATTTCAAGTAATATGTATTAATAAGCAGTATTTCATGTATAAAAAATGGTTTTTAAGAGTTTTTGTCAAATGCTTTATAATATAGTATAGATTAGTTACATGAATTCAAGTATTTAGCTTTAATAGGTTGTACTTATGCATTATTTACTTGTAATCTTGAATTTCAAGTAATATGCATCAATAAACAATACTTCATGTACAAAAATTGGTTTTTAAGAGTTTTTGTCAAATGCTTTATAATATAGTATAGATAAAAGTAACACTTACCAATTAAGATTTTAGTTCACTAAAACGACATTGTATCCAATATTTTTATCTGTTAACTACCGAGTAAGAGTAGTCACTCTTACTTACCGGATAAGACTCGCGGTCCTCGTCATCGCTCTTACCGGATGAGATTATCAATCTTTGTCATCTTCATATAACAAGATAAATTGACTAGGTAAGTACTTACTAGGTAAGCGTTTAGTAAAAGGCGTACAAAATTGTTCCTTTCGCATCTCCATTTTTTGCGTTTTTTTCATGGCAGTTGTCAAACAATTCCTTTTGCATCTCGATTTCTTGCATTTTTTACATTACAGATGTCAAAACTGTTCCTTGACAATTTTCAAAAAGCCTCAACTCTCTTAGGTGCCGTTTACCAGATGCTTACCCGGGTAAGCGCTTACCAAGTCACTTTACTTTACCGAATGAATATAGCAAGGACTAAAAATCTTATCTGGTAAGAGCGAAGGCAAAAATCGAGAGTCTTACCCGGTAAGTGAGGACGAGGACTCGTACCATGGTTAGCGCTTACCGGGATATATTGTTGCATACGATGCGTTTTAGTTAATAAAATCTTATCCAGTAAGTAAGCGATAATGTTGAATTTTACCGGTAAGTGCTTACCGGGTAAGTGTTAAGGTAAACGTCCCCTAAGTATTGGTTACCCCTTGATGACAAAAGGTCTAAGGGTAGCAAATGATCATGAAGAGTAACATATACTGTTCATGAAGGGAGGTGCAAGTGGGCATGCATCTAACCATATTTTTTTGGTTTGAGTGTTGTTTATCAAATTTTTTATTAAGTCTTGTATGAATAAATTTGTTTGTTTGGATAAATGGGTGGTATTGTTTACTTTTTTTATTTGAACCAACAATTTGAATAACATAAACGACCGATTTACCCCCAATATTAATTATTTGAACATCAAAACAAAAAATCATAAAGAGGTCGAATATGGGGTGTCTCATATGGGAAGGAGGCGGTGCTTTAAATAAGGGGCAAGGGTGTCATTTTTGTGGCTGAATGAGTACAACACACCATTTCTATATGTGCGATTAAGTCATGTTCTGTGCGAATAAGCCGTAAGTAAACAACCCAAATGAGTTGTGCGAATAAACCAGATAGACCAATAAGCCTAATTAAGCCGCAAGTAAACAGCCCCTTAGTATAATTTTCTAATAGTCTTTAGAATGCCACCATTTTCTTTCGTTGTGTGCTACGGTTCAGCCACAAAAATAACTTGCTAGATCCGCCTATGCGAAGAGGCATTCAGGAAGGAGGTTGATGGTGAGGAACGTTTGAATAATAATTACCATATGCATAGTTCTTACATTACCATTATCGACTATATATTGTCTTTTAGGTGGCGTTTGGTTTGTTGGAATCTCAAGAAATTAGAATGGTCAATTTCATTGACTAAATTCATTTTTAATTCTTTCAAATTTCAATTCCTTAACATATTCTAATTTTGATAGATTTCATTCATTGAATCGAACACCACATTAATTTCATCGACAGATCATTAATTTCCACTGGTGCTTCGACTAACGTTTTCATATCAAAATGATCCATCGATGGATCTTATGTTGTTAAAAGGATGTTAAGTCACACATACCCCCAAAATTCCGGCTTGATCAGGCTTTGAGGCCTAGCCCAGACCAGGCTTCAGGCTCACTAGGTCCGGAATTTTCGGGCTTGGGCTATTTGGTCCATCTCTAACTTGACGCTGTCTCAAATAGATATAGGTTGGGGCATCCATCACAGTCGGATCTCGATCAGACCCATGTCAGGAATCTAACAAAAAAGCTTTCCTGGTCATGTAGTTGAATACCGGAATGAGCTGGAAATTAAAACAACATATACAAATGTCACGAATATATATAATCGTACAACTGCTTAGCTGAAAAGACCAACTACAAATGTCACACGAAAGTATCTCTCACGAATGGAAATTTGAATCGACAGTCTAAACATCTCAACCCCAATCAGACCTTTCTCGCCATGAAAGTTTGGAAGTGTTGAAAGATCGAAAAATTAACCAAATAATCAAATCTTCCGTTTTCAACTGCTACCATTTGATAACCAGAACTCTGATATGGAACTATCATATTTACAGTGTCTTACAAGCAAGAACTACAAAGCCGTATGTATATGCTGATGCTATATACCATCTGTTTTCTTTCTTTTCCGTTGGTCGGGTGTTAAAAAGGGTGAATTAAGGAGGTAGAAAACTTACTTATGTTGCATCAGACATTATCTGGCCAAAACTCCCTAAAGAAAGCCGCTTGGAATTCGTTCTCCTGCAATTTTTTCTCGATTTCTAGAGCCTTCTTCAGCCTCTTTGACCTTTTCGCTTTACTTCTGCTAGACAACTGAAATCAACATTTGGGTAAAGATTATTATCATTAGCACACACTAATTATGACCAAGATAAGAAAAAACAAACTTATTCGCTTGTTCTCGAGCAAAATTGAAGATTTTAACCGACATCTCCCTACCCATCATCTCTAACTTCCATACATTCAAATAGTCAACAGATCAAATCTCTTTGACTGGAAAGATGACGTATACAAAGATTTTGACCTTCTGTTTTAAAGTTTTTATAGAAACTAAATTGATGCTACCTGAATGACATTGAGCTTGAAAAGCAGACATCTGAAAAATGTCTTTTGAATTGATTACCCAAGTTGACAATTAGCTGTCTGTCATAAGCAAAACTATTATCTTATCTGCAGATTTCATGTTAAAGAAAAACTTTGACAACCACAATGCACCATAACTCCTTTTTGTTATTATGAAAAGGTAATTTTTCTAATAACCATGGTATCTAGCACCTTTAGCCCAAAGAGCAGTTACATTGCAAATAATATGGCACATCTTGACATCCCCGAAAGAAAATTGTTGAAATTTTGGAAAGCACAGAGTAGACTGGAAAAGGACATATCGTTTTTTTTAAGTATATAATATTTATATATGGCAAATGGAACTCACACACCCTCCCCTATACCATTACTTACTTATAACATGCAAGCCAGGCCTACTCTATGAGAACACCATTTAGTTATGAGTTATCAAACAAAAATTATGCTTCTTCATAAAAAGATCTCATGAATGACACATGTGATTGTTATAGGGCAATCAGCCAAGGCCGTCGGCTTGTCCTATAAGTTTAAGCATAAAGTGTCACCACTATCATATCTGCTTTTCTCCGTCGCTGCTGTCAACCACTAGTTGCCCATAAGCTACAACACTTCACCCTTTCCTTGAACCTTGTCAATAATCGAACTTAAATTAAAGATATGAACTGAGTGCCATTTGATGAGTAACTGAGAACAAAGCTTTTGTCGGCTCTGAGGCTGAGGAAAGCCGCTGACCARAACCTAGCGTTCGCACCCCTATCGAGGCAATTCGGTGTATACCCTGATGCGACCCCATCCAGAGAGACTTTATCTGAGCGAACGAAGTGAGAACGAAATGAGAAGCAAAAATATTCTGATAAAGACGTTCCTCAGTAATACCATCATGACTCTCGCTTTCCTGTCTAATTACCAACCCACCCTCCCTTCCCCTATATCTGATAGCTGTAACAGGCCTTCTTCTTAAGCTATAGTAAAGGTGCACGGGTTCTTACCGACCAACAGAAAGCATGGGAGTTGTTGGGAATTGAAACCGAGTCACTTTAGAATCTAAAATCTCTCCTATAAAACAACTTGCATGTGTTAAGCATAGATTTGCTTCTGAAAGAATTTGAACTAATTGTGCCACAGTTGAGCGTCTATATATATATATATTTTATTTCATTATTAACATCCAATCCCATGCTRATAAGAAAAACGAGCGATTGCTAGTCAGCTCGACCAATAAGTTCTGAAAGTGAATCAGATCTGGGCTGTTCGGGTACTTCACTCAATCAATCTCCTAATCTTTATCCTACCACCCTTGCTACAACTGAACCACCAACAGCGGGAGATGGAATTGCGATGAGCCAGAAATTAGAATATCGCCTAACCATCTGTCTCCGTCTCCCTTAGTTCCGAACGAGGTTACTGGCTCTCCGGCTCCATTTTGGGAGTCTCTGTTCTCAGATTTATGTGTCAATGTGTTATTTATCCATTCCTACTTTTTATATGCCAATGTTGGTGACTACAGATAACTCTCTTCAATTATTCCTGGGATGGGAGGGAGTAGGCACACATTGTAACAATTCATCGCAATAGCTGCCTGGCTAAGAGGCCTCGTAGTCAGACTTCACATTGACTGAAGCAGCTGTCGGAAAGAAAAGCTGCTTACTTAGACAATTGGACTAACAATCAGACGTGGTCTTGTTTGATTGGATTCCTTGGTTAATTTTTTTGATCCCCTCTGTTTTTCTGTTCTATTTTTGTATTTAAGTTATTGAATTAACTTAATTGTTCCAAAGTGCCAACTCCAACTCAACATACATGCTGTCTAGCTTTCAAGCATAACAAATCTATATGCCTATGGTGAAGTCAACTATTCCAATGGCCATGTTGTAAGCTGTGACATAGGGAACTTATTGTCAATTTGTCACTTGTTCCGAAACTAAGTACTGCTCCATCATCATATGTTTAATCATGCAAGTATGTAACATACTTACCAGAGACCTTTTCCATCTAGAGAATACCATGGGCCTACATATTTCCCAAAGGTGTCTAATGAGATGCGTTATTTAAATCAGAACATTTTCTGTTTTCGTGAGTTTGCTTTCAGCTCTCATTTCATACAGGTGGAATTTGCATCTTTTTGCTATTTTTAAATAAAACCAACTAGGCTGACATGAGTACATGACATCTTATGTGTAGTTACTACCAGCAGAAAAATGAGAAGAATCTATATGGATTTCTATCTCATGAAGTAGAAAATATGAAAATCCTAATTTGTTACTTTCTATGTTATCTTTATTGTAGCTATAACCCTTTAACTGTTTTAATACATAAACCAATCCCTAACACCACATGCCAAGCTATACATTGCATATATTACCATGTTCATAGATGTTTTCAACTTGTTATCATGTGCCATTTCAAGGTTCCTCAATTTGCCTTCCATTTGCAAATTGGGTTTAAGGACCTCTTTCTATCGGTTAAAAACCCGCATGCATCTCTTCCATATCATGTTTCTAAGGTTTGATGCTCTACCTTGCAGACCAATAACTCTATTAAGCTACTTCGGTGTATTTGACGCCCTTGTGCCAAAGGCCACTAGGCTGCTAAGCAGGAGCTAATATGAAAAGTAAGGGCCAGCTATCCTATTACCTGCTAACAAACCTAGTCCTTCCATATAAGCTTTCTACATTTTGCATCCCATATTCACACACATTATCTCCAAAAAAAATAAATGGTATGCATGTAATAAGCAAACAAATTTACGCCTTGTATCAAAACAAAAGGACAACCTACTTTATCATCAGTCTTATCAGAAGCCACATTTTTTTTATCCCCTGTGCTCTGTGGTTTCTTTGTCTCTGCTCCCAAACCTCGTTTGTTTTTCTTTAAATAAGCCTGCACAGGCTCCAATCTGCCCTGTTTAAGAAACAATCAATAGTTACTTCACATTGGAACTTTTGCATCTAACAGATAATAATATTAATGACAATTGAATATATACATTTCTGACTGCTCATAATCTTAGTCTGATTGAGATGAAAGCATATCAACTGATAACATCGACCTCCCCCCCCCCCCCCCNNNTCCCCCCCCCCCCAAAACCCCCAAAAAAAAATCAAGAAAGAAAGAGTATGGAACGTGGCATAAATGGGTGGAGTCCAACTATGAAGAGTGTACATGGATGATACCATAATATGAGTGCAACATTAAGAGATTTCAGGAGTCCTCTAGAGATCTGAAGTAAAAATTGATGCATAAAACTAGAACATAATGGATATTTGGTCAATGATATGCGTTCTATGATTCCTTTTGTGTACCCATGAAGTTTAGGTGCAGGATGTAGTATCGTTAGCCAGCTTCCTTACAACCAAAGATGTGATGCCTTTCATCCAATCATTCTTGTGCAGAATTGTAACTTGTATATGATATTTTCTATCTTGTAGATCTTAAATTTAGAATATGAAATGCATCAAGATATAAATGGGAAAAAAAAAAGTAATGGTCTATAAGAGAGAGAGAGAGAGAGAGAGATACCATGCATTCAGCTAAGTGGCCTCAAGAAGAGACATTATACAATAAGAGAAGGCGAAGACTTGTCTAAGTTACACACTTATATTACATGCAGTGTTCAAAAAGGCGCGCCATGGCATTGGTGATATGGCGTAAGACAAGTCTCCACCGTTACTATATAGCCTATAGTGTTTTTGAAATGTGTGGCTCACGCCATGGCGTCTTGAGGCATGCCATGGTGTGAGCTTTTTACAAGGCATGATTATTTTTTTTTAAAAATAGTTTTTTTTTAACTTTTGTGGTTCTACATTTTTAAATTTAGATTTTACACTTTTATATATTTATCTAATCACAATTCCAAGAATTCATACACGTCATGCACTCATGATTCAAATGAAGTTGTAAAATTACCCTTCCAAGTCATATTTTGAATAATTAATCAAAATAATCTATATAATTTATCTTCTTCTAATATGAGCTTACATTTTTAATTAATATCATTATCTGATTGAATAATATATAGAAAAAATATATGTATATATATATAATTCTATGTATTGCATACAAATTTGCCGCCTTATGTTATGCCTCTAAAAACGCGGCATCCTCACCGTGGCGTGTAAGGCTTGAGGCTTGATCTCGCCGCCACGCCAAGCCTCACAATATTTTGAACCTTGATTACATGTTAGCTGGTATAAAACAAAAGATTACCATCTTCGTGCCTAGAAAAATATCAACACTTAACTTTGAATGTCAAATGAGATGTTCTTTTAGCTTCAAAAAGATTAATGAAACCGTATCGGTTGAGATTAAAAGATAATCATTACATAAAACAGTCTTGGGGCCAAATTAACTTCATCATTCACACAGTTAGTGTTGGTTTACATTATAACGGGGACTGAATGGCAATTCAGAGGCCAAGATATTTGTTAAAAAGAACAATGGTTAAGAGAGAGCTCAATCAATAGGTGACACCCCTAATTTGTCTACACCATTTCTTTCACTGGCCCACCAGCCATCGGTCTATCCTTAAATCATTGTAGGTCTTGCAAACATCATATGTAACCTAAGTTTCAGCTTCAACCAAACTAAAAGACTTAGAAAAAAGGAAGCTAAAAAACATCTCTGTAAATCAGCTAAGAAAGAAAGATGTTTGAATCTCCAGGTTGACTCTTTCTATGGGTCAACTGAGTACATTTTCAACAGGCAGAAAGGAGCACAATTGCAAGAGTTAACATTTACTGCTAAACCTACTTAACAAATCCGATATGGATTCGAGTATGGAGTCCAACAATGGATCCAATGAGAGTCAAGCCCAGACCGTCAATTCCAGGCGTCAACGGATTCGGTTCAAACCTGCACGCTACCGTGATTGAAGAATTGAAGTGGTCAACAGTGTTCCTAAGTATTAGGTTCCATTTTATTTTCAATTGTTATTTATCTCTTTACGTAAGCTGGATGTGGATTGTCTTCCAAAGCACTCCATGAATTCCCCTGTTCTTTAGGCTCAATCAAAGTGGTGGACGACTGGTCAACCCTCTAGTTAGCAGTAGTTCTTTTATTTTCCATTCAAGTAGTGTAACTTTCTTCTTGTGAAATTTTATCAGAAAATTGCCTCAAACTCCCTTTTCCTCTCTTAATAATTCTGTGGAGATTGACCATCTCGAATACGGTCGTATCAATTGGTGCTTTCATCGACTTTCCATGCCTTCCAAACGCGATCCCCCATCCGTTGGGGAATCTATGGCTGCCATGGCCGATAGCCTCGCCAAGCTCCTCACCGCCTCCACCTCCACCATCACCCAACTCGAAAACCTTGCTAAACAGATGGCCACCAACACCGCAACCACTGCCAACCTTGTCGCGGCCATTGCCAAGGTCGAGCCTGATCCAAAACCCGATTCCCATCCTCATCCTCCTCCTCCCCCACCCCCACCCCCACATGGCATTCCCATCAAGTCCCCGAAGATCCAACTCGCATTCTTTGATGGCTCCACTTCGTTGGATTGGATTTTCCAGGCCGACCAATACTTCCATTTCTACCAAATTCACTCTGAAAAACGTCTTTCTATTGTTGCCTTCCACCTCAAAGGAGACACTTTGAGTTGATACACATATCTCCAAAACAATCACCTTCTCATGGATAGGCCAGCCTTCACCCGGGCACTCGAACTTCGGTTCAGCCTATGCTCATTTGAAAACCATCAAGCCACCCTGTTTAAACTCCGCCAAACCGGATCCGTCCCCGCTTACCAAACTAACTTTGAACGCATTAGCAATTGCGTGGACGGGCTTTCTTCGGATGCTCTTCTCTATTGCTTCCTTTCCGGCCTTCAAACTGATATCCAACAAGAGTTGTCCCTCCATCACCTCCCCCAACGTTTCACCAAGCCTACGGTTTGGCAAAGCTCATCGAGGAAAAAATTGCAGCTAACCTTTCCCGATATTCCCCCGGCCCTCGTCGTGCCCCATTCTCCCCCTCCCCTCACTCGGATCACCGGCCACCTCCCCCGGTCCTGGTCTCTTGCCTGCCCCACCTAAACTTCCCTTCCTCTACGGCATATCATCCTAGGAACTGTTGCAATCCTCCCCAATTCCTTTTCCTCGACCCTATGGAAGAAGTGCCTACTTCCCTTCCCGTCAAAACTGATCCCAACCAGCTTCTTTCCCCAATACCCTCTCCCGATACTCTAGACGACATCTCCACCATCTCGCCCAGCACCCCTCTTCCAGATACACAGTTCCTCGCTCTCTCTTCCGCAGCGTTGCATGGCACCGTTTCCCCTCGCTCCCTTCGTGTGACCGGCTACATGTCGGGTATCCCGGTGACAGTTCTTGTTGATTCAGGCAGTACCCACAATATCATCCAACCCCATGTCGCTTCTTTTCTCCACCTTCCCATTCATACACAACCTAATTTCCCGGTAATCGTCAGCAACGGCACGTTCATCCAATGCTTTGGTAAGTGCTCTGATGTTCCCATCCATCTTTCTGATGCAAACTTTTCCATTTCTCTGTTTCTTTTACCCATTGAAGGAGCCGATATAGTACTTGGCATGTCCTGGCTCTCCTCTCTCAGTCCCGCCAGAGCCGACTTCACCATTCCCCAACTTATTTTTCCTCATCTCCATAAGTCAGTCACCCTTCCCGGCGAGTCCGCCTGCACCCTTACTACTCCGAGAGCGATCTATCATTTCTTAAAAAAAACAATTTGTTGTCGCCTTTTGATGCCATCCTATGTAACCCCATTCCCGAATCCTCCAGTCATACTATCCCTTTGTCACCACCAAACACCATGCACGACCCTTGTATGGTTTGAAACAAGCACCCAGGCAATGGTACCTGAAGTTTGATAACTTCATGGAGAGGGYCAGGTACAGAAAATGTGAAATGGACCATTGTTGTTATGTGAAGAAATTCAAGAGCTCCTATATCATTCTACTTCTCTATGTAGATGATATGTTGATTGCAGGTGCGGATATGAAAGAGATCAGCAAGTTAAA